GAGAGCCTCTTGCGTTGATGGACCACCGCCCGCCCCCTCCCCCTTTTTTCAGTAGTCTATAGCTGTGTCTGCCTGTGACATGATTGTGTGCTGCGTGTTCTCCTCCTCCATCTCTTCCTCCGTATTGTGTCGTTCTTGTTCGTGTGATACAACACTGCGACTGCTAGCGATAAAAAAAAAAAAAAAAAAAAAAGAAAAGAGAAAAGAAGCATTCTTTTATCACGGCGGCTGTGTGTGGCTGTCTTCTAACCGGATATTATCCCCTCTTTTGTTTTGATATCGCACGAGAATTGTGGAAACTGCCACTGACGAAAGAGGGGCAATCTCGTCCAGCTTCTTTCTTTTTTTTTTTTTTTTTTTTTTTTTTTTTTCAAGAGGGCAGGTTGAGCAAAGTTTTCCTCCTTATCTCTCTCTTTTTCTTTCCTCATTCTGCTGCTTGCGTTTCTGTTTGTGTTTGTCTCTCTTTCTGGCCAAGAACCTCCGGCAGCCCGTGAAAAAGTCTTTCTTTAGAAGTTTGCAAGCAGTGATACACTTCTGTCTGTCTCCCTGTCTTCTCGCAGATCTCTGTCTTTAGGAAGAAATTTCACGGCGTGTCACGCTCCCTCCTCATTCTTCTCCTGTCGGATCCTCTCGTGAACGAGTGTTTGCCTCTTAACTTTCGTCGGTGTTCGCGCCTTCTCCTTCTGTGCCACACACGCTGGCCGTCGTGGTTGGGTTACTGCGTCTGATCATCACGAGCTAGCGCTCGAAGCTTGAGCAAAAAAGTAAGAAAGATGAAAAAGTAAGAGGCAGATAACCCAGCGCAAATGGTTGGCCATTATTACTCTACCATCTCTCAAGTCTGTCTCTTAATCTGTTTCGTTTGAGTGTGCGTGTGCACGATTGCTCACGTTTGCATTGATTCTGTGTTTTCGTTTCTTTCTTTTTTGCCCGACATCTAACACACACACACACACACACACACACACATTGTGCATTGTGCGCGAGTGGCCACAGAACGATTGAGTTTGTTCACACAGCGATGGGTTTGTGCGTTGTTCTAAACCAAGTCAAAGGAGAAAAAAAAAAAAAAA